TATAATCAATACATAACATCAACATCCTATCTCCCTTTTTGGCAAAGGTAACTCCGGCACCCCAAGAGGACACACTATGTTGGATAAAACCATTGTTCTGCAATTCAGTGATCTGTTTCCTTAGTTCCTCCATCTCAACACGGCTCATGCGGTAAGGAGCAACCGAAATAGGCTGGGTGCCTAGTTGGAGGTTTATGGTGAATTCGACTTCCCTGTCCACTGGCAGTCCGGGTAGTTCATCCGAAAACACATTTGTAAAGTCTCGGACTACCGGAATCTCTTGAATACAAATATATTTCTTGGATTTCCTAGTTAGAGAAAACAACAAGGTTAAAGTACTCGACGAATAAGAAAATTTGCTATGAAGGAATAAATGCTAAATTATTTTATTAATTTGTAAATGACTCCTCATTAGCAGGATTGAATACAACTTTCTTACTAAAACAATCTACGGTGGTGTGATACGCTGCTAGCCAATTCATTCCTAAAATTACATCAAAATTCCTCGTGTCTAATTCTATCAGGTCCACACTCAATTTCCTATCTGCTATATCTACGACACAAGCCCTGTACCACGTTCGGGTTATCTTCTGCATCATGCTGGGTGAGATTGTAAGCTCTGTCCTGGATAGGAGGTCTACCCTGATTCTGATTTTTTGGACACTCTCCCGCATAATGTTGGACACTACCACATATGCCACAGGTGTTATTGAGGCGGTAGCAGGGTCGGTCCCCATGATTCCTACCATAATGCTAACAAATCTTACCGCGTCCTGCCACTGGAGCTTGAGGGGAAGTCTGGATCATCGGCCTGGGCCTCTTGTTCTGTTGAATAGGCGCAGTAAGTGTTGGTTTGCAGGATGGAGCTAAGGGTTTGAGGTTTCCTGCTGTCTGAGAGAGGGTGCGGAAGCTTTTCTCCACTAGCTGTGCCTTGGCCAGAACGGCCGATTAAGTCCTGAGCTCCAGCACAAACAAATGCTGTCTGATCTCTGGGCAGAGACCCCACTCGAACCTCCTAACCTTCCTGCCTTTATCCAACAACGTCTCAGGGGAGTATCGGCCCAACTCCAGGAACTTGCGGGCATATTCTGACACAATCATGTTCCCCTGGACTAACTGTACAAACTCCATTTCCTTCAGATGTCGGAGGTGCTCTAGAAGGTACTCTGCATGAAAGGCTGGTAGGAACTGTTCCCAAGTAACTGGAACAGGCAATGTGGTCTGTTTGAACTCCTACCAGCGGTTTGCTTCTCCCACTAGCATGTAGGTAGCAAGGATGACTTTCTATTCGAGAGTCACTCCCAGGGTCTTGAAGGCCTTCTCTGTCTCTACTAACCAGTACTCGCCATCTTTAAAAGAGAATCTCCCTGTAAAAGTAGATGGCTTTAGTCTCTTGTACCTCTTTATTTAGTCTGGGTCAATCATGGGAGGAACTGAGTCCCGTAGAAGAGGGACTGGGCCATGCTGAGGATAGATTGGGGGGCCCTGCGGTGGTACTTGCTGATACGGTGAGAGCACCAGATTGTACTGTGGCAGTGCCAGGTGGTACTGTGGCTGTGGTACCGAATTATACTGTGGTTGTGCCGGGTGGTACTGTGGAGGAGCAGGGTCGTACCGGGGTGGCTTGGGATCCTCTCGCTGCAGGGCTGGCTCAACCTGTGGCAGCAGGGGAGGGTCAGGTAGCTCCCTCCTCTCCTCTCGTCCTTGCCGGGCAGCAATGAGTCTCTCCAGCATCTTAAATATTCGGTCAACATCTTACCTAAGCGAACCATCCCGAGTTGCTCGGTTTAGTGGGGGTTTTCCTCTTCTCATCTCTCTGTAAATACATTTCACAAGGAATGATTGAATGATAATTCATTATTTTGGTGTTTTCCTAAGGATTATTGTATAAGGAATGAGTATGAGAAACGCGACTCTGATACCAACTGTAACGATCCCGGAAATGCAAAAAGAAATATATAATAACTTAAGTGCGGAAGTGAAATAAAAGATTAAACTTTAAATTCCTTACACAATAACTTAAAAGTACTAAACAATATTACGAAATTAATTTTTTGAAAGAAACACGAGAAATAAGGAAACAAATAGAAAATAAAAAATATCTAGTATTTACTCGCAATCTTTTTGTAACACCAAAATTTATCAAAATATTGAATTTAATTGTAGATACAATTTTTGTAGTTTTTTTTTAATTTTAATTTAATGAAAAATAGAGTAAAATTGATGGATGATTAAATTGAAAACAATTTTGGGAAAAAATGGTGAAAATTTGGGTTTTGGGAATATTTTTGAAAGAAAAATCGAAAAACAAGAGCCAAAATGCAATTTTGGGAAGTTTCACCACGTCAGACGCCGGGTTAGCAGCCCTGACCAATCAGGACGCGCCAAGTGGCAGAGACGTTGACGCAGGAGGCCACGCGGGGGGCCACACGGGCGATCCGCGTGCCCGTGATTGAACGGCTGAGGTCCGTTCCCGCGCGCATGAACGGCCTGGATGTGCTCCCTCCCAAACGTGATCGAACGGCCAAATTCAAACGTGATCAGACGGATCAGAGTGAATCACAATAGACTGCCCAGATTGGATCGCGATGAACGACCCAGATTCACTCTCTATTTAATCGCGATCGGACAGTACAGATCAAATGTGATGGACGGCCTAGATCAAAGTGGATGGATATAAATAACCCCAATCCGCACCAAACCCTAACCCTAGCCGCCAAAACCCCTCGCTGGAAAAGACAAATTAGCCGTCGGAGAGCCGACCACCGCCACTTGCCACCACACTGGAACCCTTTCCGACCTTCAAAAAAGGTAAAAACTTTCCTTTTTGCACGAAATTCAATTTTAAGCTCACCCATGGCTAAATCGGAGTGAAAGAATCTGCCAATTGGTCGGAAAACACCGGCGAAGCCTAGCAGCGCCGCCGCGGGGCATTTCACAAAATGCTTCCGATGAGGCCCTTCCCGATTCCCGTTCGCTGTAATTTTTCCACCCTTTTGATCATCGTTCTTTTATCTACAGGTTGACCGCAGCAAAATACCCAATCGCAATGTGAGCCGGAGGAGCCGACGCACCGGAGCGCCCCGCCGTCGATGAATTTCGGATTTTTGTGTTTTTGTGGCCAACCGAGGCCCCTAAATGTGTTTTCTCGCAGGGATTGATGCAAAATCGGCTGAATTCGGCCGAAAACAACCAACCTGAGGCGGACCGCCGTCGTGGGCGGTGGGCACCGTCGTGGGCGGTGGGCACCGTCGCTAGAGCACGGCGGAGCTGCTGTGCCAGATTTACGAAATTGGCCGAGTGAGCCCTGAGACTGATTGGATTTATTTGAAACATTTGTAGGTACTATAAGCGTGTTTCAATTCCCGGAGAAAAATTCAAGGAATCCAGGGACCGCCTGTAAGCACAGTAAACCGTTTAGCTTTTCGGTGTCAAATCGAATAAAGATCCCTCACCCTATTCCCTATCATAGAATTGAAGTTTAAATAAATAATAATGTGGTATTTTGTGCAATTTTAGTAAACATGCATAATTAATTACTAATTGCTAATGGAGTCCGAATTGGAAATTATTCTCTGTTAATCTCTATTGATGTATTTTACAGTCTAAAAGTATGATAGTGTCTTATCGATTTATTTTATGGTTTAAATGCATGAGTTGATACCTTACGTGACTACTGTTTAATTTGGGATTTGAGACATGATTGCATTACCTGATACATGTTTATTTGCTTATGTAATTATGTTTGATTTGGAAATGGAGACTAAAGGAAAATGGAAAAGTGGTGTGATTAAATAAACAGATGAAACAACAGCCTTACCAGATATCCTAGGAGATGATGGACGGACCGGGTACATAGGGAACCCTACTGTGAACGTTGTCTCATACCGGATGGAGTATGTAAACTGAATAATTTGGCGCTCATACCGGAAGGGGTATGGGGACGGCCCGCTTCACCCTCATACCGAATGGGGTATTGAAGTTTAATGATTTGACACTCATACCAGGCGGGGTATGGGGACGGCCCTGTAATTGAGATTGTTAAAGGAAAAGGTTCACGTGTGGCGGGACATCCCTATAAAACCTCATGAATACTAGTAGGCTGGTGAAAGAGAAACAGTTATGGTTTGGTTTATTGTTAATGGATATGGATTTATAATATGTTTTATGTTGCTGATTGTTCATAAAATTATAATCTGTATGGTATTATTGTTTTTATAGGTTGTTTTCATAAATTCTACTATAATAAGTGAACGAGAAATGATTTTATGATTGATAAATGAATTTACTAAATTTAATGCTATATTAGTGGTTTTCGATTTTATATCAATTTTTGTTTCTGTGCCGGTGATATAGTGTGATATTCTTATTGGGTTAGTGTAACTCATCATTTATTTAATCATTTCAGATCAAGAGAACCAGGTTCCAAAGTCCAATCCGCAAGAAGATTGCGAGCAGATACTAAATATTTTATATTTTTCATTTGTTTCTTTATTTCTCGTGTTTCTTTTAAAAAATTAATTCCATAATGCTGTTTAATACTTTTAAATTATTGTATAAAAAATGTAAATCTTAACCTTTTATTTCGCTTCCACATTTAAGTTATTATATATTTTCTTTTGAATTTTCGAGATCGTTATAACCTTGCCAGTGAAAGACCAGAGCTCCTGATGAATTCCCAATTACCTTATGCTAGTCCAAATAAATTGGAAAGTAGGGTAAAATATGGAGCTAAGAACAATCTAGTTATTAAGCAACATTTTGTTTATCAAAAAAGGTATATGTCAACTGATTAGTATATAAAATACATTATTAATTAGAAAGAAAATTTATAAGGTCTTTGAAATTCTATCCTCACCGCCATTGGGAACCTAGTCCTTAATTCTAATACTCTATAGACAGAAAGAAAAATGTGATAGTCATTCGTGAAATTCTACCCGACAAGAAAACTTTCCCTCTTGAAACACAAGGAATATGTAAAAAGGTGGTCATAAACATACTTGGCGGAAGTCCATACTTTCGCATCTCAGCAAAGACAGCTTCAGCCTTCTCTATGGACCCAGATGTGCAATAGGCCTTTAGCAGAAGGGCATAAGTATCTTCTGTAGGCACACATCGGGCTTCAAGAAGTTGTAAATATGTTGATTCTGCTTTCTTGCACAGACATTTCTGCCCATAAGCGTCTATAAGCAAATTGAAGCAGATGACATCAGGCTGAAAGGAGCTCCTGTCCAATATCCACTCACATATCTGTATGCAATTATAGTGTTACACTCAAGGAAATAGCAGGAAAATCAAACACTGTCAAATCAATATAAATTAGAAAACAAATTTAACTGTAAACAGATTCAAATTCATATGCACATATAGGCAGTGGTCAACTGTAGAAACAGATTCATTCACTAAAGCAAATGCTTCTTATAAAAAACTATCCCAAGTATTGCAGACTCTATCAGAGTCATCTAATCCTCTTCCTTAAGAATCTCTAGCATTTTACTTGTATTATTAACTAGATACCATTTTGTCTTGAAAGTACTTTGAGAAGTTAGACAGCCGCTAATGTCCAGTCTCATTGCAATAAAAATAACTATTTATCCTATATTTAATTCACAGATTGTGAATTCAAGAAAACGGAGCAAGAAACCAGTGCACACATGCAGTTGAAACTTTTTAAGGGATTGTTAAAATCAGGGTTCGAGAAGAAGAGGTTGCCATGCAGCCACTAAAAAGCTGCTGCTTTCTTAATCTTTATGAATAAGTTCATCTGAAGAATCAGTAGCTTGTCAAATCAACTGCAAGAATTCCTTTTTAACTATTGTTCTGCAATTAAAATCAGTTGGAACTTGCTTGCTTTCAATCTGCTACAGATTTTGTACCTTAGATGATAGGATCACTTTCCCTTTGGTGGTATCTAAGATTACCAAGACCAAGTAGCTGATTACTAATACAAGTATCAACAACTCAAAGTCTATGACTTAAATAATTGTAGAATTTAACCTCAATGAAATAAGACAGACATTTGGCCTCTCTATCCCAGTTCTGAAATAAAGAATTTCAGAAAAATTTATGATTCACATGGATTCCATCACTAGTTCACAGTATATATTACCTTCTGAAAACAAAAACAACATTAGAAAGGAAGGAAACAAATTAGAAAAAATTGTTTCTCACCAGTATAATCGGATCCCATTTTTTATTTAGACGAAGTTGAACAGCCACATTAATAATATCATCCCATGAGGCATGTGTGAGAGGAAGACTATTGAGAGCAGCCTCAATTCTACTGGGATCCACGTGGTTCCGCACAAAATTAAGAATCTGCTGAGCAGTAGGGCTCAAAACAGGGAAAATTCCATCAACAAATCCAGATCCATATTTCCATCCTTGTCCTCTTAAAGAACCACCTAAAATGAAGACCATTATCAGAACATAGTGTGATACGTAAACTACATAAAACAGAAGCATGAGATCATGAGCCACATACATCTTTTTCTGGAGAGTTTTTTGCGATTAAAGCTTCTCAATTTGCCACGTTTGTCAATGAAAAAGCCCTCTCTTTTACAGGTCTCAACAAGGGCACCGCTCGACTCTTTGGCTGATCTCCACCTGAAACTTTCTTTACAACTTCTTGGTTCTATAAACATATAGTTCAGAGTAGTGTTTCCAACAATCAACCTACAGAAAGCCCAATCCGAAATGAACCGAAATTAATCATTACACATATAAGCATGCCGTACTAAAATTTCCACTTCGTTATTTATCCAAAACACATCAGTTCATTTCCAATACC